AGTAGTATAACCTCTTTGGTCCTGACTCGTTGCGACTCAATTCGGCTGAATTCAACGTGCAGTGTGCACCGGGCATAACCGCCACACCTCAAGCCTCAGATGCCAGTCGCCAAAAGCGTAGATAGTTTCGTTTTATTAAAGGTTTTACGGCGCTCGCAACTTCATAAGGCCATATGAGCGCCAAGTGGTGGTTATCAACAGAGAAGTCCTTACAGGGAATCAGGCTTACTCTGCTCACCGCTCTAGCCTCAACAGCACAAAGTCTGCTTCGACTATCTAGGCACCCCAGAAGTAGCAGTTCACAAGAGAGTGACAAACATACCCGGTACAAAAGAAGTAGAGGGAAAATGATGATACTAAGGATGGGGAAAGAAAAAGCAGCAGTTCCCCCTATGTTGTTCCGGCACAGTATGAGTGTAGATTCCTCAGATAGCAGACGGTGAAGACAAGCTGTAAACGCCTTCGTAAATCAGCGCTCCCTTTGATGAACGTCCTGCAGTACACCATCCCACGTGCCCGGCTGACATGCGCAGAGAGGTAGTTATTTGGGCGGTGACATCTCCCCCCCCCCTGATCTCGCCGTGTGGCTCAGGTTGCGCGCCACTGCTCATTACCTGCTTACGTCACAGTGCTGGAATCTGGCGCGGGGACCCGGGGCTAATTCCGTGTGAGGTAATCGAGGACCTCACAATTGTGGCACAATGTGGTGGAATCAGGCGCTCGTCAATTTTTAGGCACATGGGGTTATTGGTATCATCTTTAAGCCTGTTCATTTGTCTTGCTTTTGGTGAAAAAGAATATCCATCTAGATCTATTCTAAACAGAAGTGGAAATATTTGCGATTGAAAGGTGTCAGGGTCGCCTGGTTTCTGAGGTAAAATTAGCCAGAAAATGGCCGCCGAAGTTAGGTAATTTCCATAGCTTATGAGTCCTTGGAAACTGAAAATTTGCAATTTTTTTCGGTGTGCCTTTAATCAATGTTTTTCAATAAAATCAACACAAAATAAATGTGTTTTTAAATGGATAGAAAAGGTGTTGAGCGAA